CGGCGCGGCTCCCCCCCCCGCCCCCCCGCCGCTGTCGGGTCCATGTTGTATTTGCAATTATAGGTGTCCGAGGATTTTAGCTCTATCTCTTCAGCCAGAAACACGTTATTCAGACTTCCGGTATGCAGCGTTATCTTTCCAAATCACGCCTCAGAACTAGTCCCAGCCAGTCCAGTGTTATCGAACTGCCCCTCAGTTGTTATCCTCCCCCTTCTTCCACAACAAGGTAGCCAAGTTAGCTAAGCTATGAATGACTGCAAGCCCTCCAAAATGCAGACAAATAGTGCTTCCGGCTTTGATTTTCGGAATAAAAGCAGTGTTGCGAGTGACAAGCGCAGTGATACAAAGCACCTGAGTGTTTTATTTTGGAAGGCTCACATCTGGCAGAGTTGTTTTATGGTCAGCAGTTACAGATTTGGTCAGAGGCATAGCTGGTGATTTTATAGACTGGCTAGGCGGAAACCTATAGCTGTTCATTACTTTATCCATGGACGCTTATTTCACCATCAGGAGATAGTTCATGGGTATTTTGGGCCTATTTCTTTGATTAGCTAAAACTGTCAGGTTGGATCAACAGAATGTTTTTTGGTGTATTTGTCTGCTTATCCTGCAAATTGCATTCTGTATGAAGTTACCAACATTAACCCAAAACATCCTGTTTGCTATTTTTAAAATAATAGCATACTCATATGAATAGTAAAACTGGGATATTGACTGTCTCAAGAATAAAAATTCAAGATCTGACACTTTGTATTGAAAATGCTGCTGCTGAAATACTGACAAACACCAAGAAGAGAGAACACATTACTCCAGTCCTTAGATCTTTGCACTGGCTTCCAATTAAATACAGAATTCAAAATAAGCCCTACTTATTGTCTACAAGTCTCTCAATGGTCTGGTTTGCTAAGTACAACCCTGGTAGGTGTCTCAGATCTGCAAGGACTGATCAGCTAGTGGTGCCCTGATTTGGAGCTAAACAAGGTGAAAGTGCTTTTAGCCCTTATGCTGCCCACACCTGGAACCAGCTCCCACTCCAACTTAGAAATAAAAAAACTTTTTACAACTGGAGCCACTTTTAAAAATAAAGACAGTTCCTTTTTCCAGTGCTTTTAATTAATATATCTTAATTCCACTCAATCTCCATGACTACAAGGGACAAACTCCCCCCTCTCCCTGTGACTTTTACTGCAGTAGAATATACATCCTTAACTCCACATTTGACCTCCAAGACAGTAAAGTATGAAGGTTTCACACTCGCCAGATAGCTGGTCTATGTTTATCTGATCTTTCCCAAGAGAACAGGCACCCCTGGAGTGCAGGCTCTCCCCCAGAGCTTGTGACCTAACAAAAGAAAGACTGTTTGTGATCACTCTCACTCTTTCTCTTTATGAGAATGGAAATATATGTTTGTGTGTTGATCTGGGGCCCATACCCGACCTGCCACTTATGTAATATGATCCCTGTATTAGAATCAAATTACACCGTAAGCAAAATGGAAAATGTGTATGATAATGTATAATGACCAAAGAAACAAAAACTAACATATGAAGTAATGAAAGATAATGTTAAAACTTTATCTTATTTTATAACCAGAAACAGGATTGTGGAATGTTCAGTGAAACCTGACAGCCTCCTGCTTCATTGACCACTGCAGTATCACAATAAAGATCAGACAAACATCAAATCCTGACCCTGGGGTCAAAAAGCAATACTATCCTATTAATACTATCATTGTTTTTCTAATTGGCTGATAGTTGTCCTATGGTTGGGGAAAGAAACATATCCCCTCAATACCAAAAAGAAAAAGCAAATAAAAAACTTCATATTCAGAATTTCAGAATCAGCTTTATTGGCCAGGTGTGTTGGACACACGAGGAATTTGTCTCTGGTACAGTGGCTCTCAATGTGTACGTACATATCAACAAGCAAAGGAATGTGCATTAGAATGTGCATTGCAAAAGAGATACATGAGTGATGAATTTCAACATTGAGTGATAATTTATCCAATGAAAATATCTGTAAATGTGTTGATCATGACTCACTGAATTAATTTTCAAAGCTTAATCAAAAGGTTGAAATATTTAAGTACTGCTGTCATTGCATCTTAAGATTAAAGATTTTATCTGAGAAAACCTTTGCTTTTTAATCTTCTAGACCTTCAAATGTGTATATGTTGTGAGAATCTACAGGACCGCCCACAGGCGCTCGACTAGTGCCATTTTGCCTCCTACACATCTTCAGGCTCAGATGCCTATAATGGCCTTTCCATGATAAGCAGTAGCAGTGGATGTGCTGAGCTCAGTGCTTTCTCCTCTCCACTGAGCCATAACCCTCTTCAAACAGCTAGTTCAACCATGTTTGCGCCAGGGACTTCGTAGTCAACAACTCCCCAGTAATGAAGAATGCTTTATTAGTATTTTCATCTTGATCGAGTGGGAGGCTCTGCTTGCTGGAGCATGTGCTGACCTTGAGTGAGAGTCTGGCACTCCTAATGAACCAATCAGCAGTAGCCTGCTTATGTTTGCCAGCAGCAAACTTAAGTTCTATGAGCAAATACAAGGGACCCATTTAATATCACACTAATCTAGAAATATTATATATGCTATATTTAATGCAGCATTTGGTGGAGCTTTTATCTACACTGCCTTACAGTACACTGAGTGCATACATTTTTGGTACTGATGGGCCCAGTGGGATCAAAGGGTCTGACTATGATGGTGAAAGTATCATCTGAAAACCACTGTGTTTCCCCTCAGTGGTGGTGTTAGAGGTGGATTAAAAAGCCCATGGCTGCTCATTTTGCTGTTTTCCAGCCATTTAATGTTTAATCTTGGGTACCTCTAGATTAGCTTTGCACCCCTCATAACTCCAAAT